GCTTTTGGTTTTTTGCCATTTCTAGCAAAAAACAAATGCACGTGATGTTAATGTAACAGTGTATGTTATTGATTATGTGAAATATATGTACAATGGAGTATTTATAGTGAATAAATCATCATCATACTATATTATAAGTGGAAAGACTCAAGTTGTAAAGTTGATTTACTAAAATGTCCATACAAAACTGAACGACATTTTTACCCCTCATCTATATATTACTCCTATAATATTTTTGTACCAAATAGTAAATTTACCTTCCAATAAGTGATAAATAAATCAAATTTAATGAGAAGTGGCATGAAGTTCCATGTATCTATCTGCCAAGCATTTAGTGGTCTATTCATTCATGCACAATGAAGTTAGATAATTAATTTGGATATTATTAAATGGTAAATAATGGCTACAAAACGTGAGAATTGAAATGATTTTCTTATCACCATCAGAGCGTTTTTAACTCCTACAAGGATAAATACACAATAAAATTGGTTAATTAATTTGGATCCTACTACATAGTAAATAATGGCTACAAAAAGTTGGAACTGAAATGAATTTCTAATCACCACCTAGCATTTTCAACTCCCACCATTAATGTTAATGTTAGTTATAAAGTGCTGTTTGTAAACTTTTGGTTTTCCCATGCTTTCTCAATCTGCAATAGTGATTTGACTGAAACATTAATAAAGTTAATTATTATCAAATTTAATTGCTAATTAATTAGTTTATTTGCTAAAAATAATTATCTGATGACCTTATATAAATGAATTATAAATCAATAATATAATATGCATAACCATCACTATTAGAAGAAACAGTAGAGAAAATATGCATATTTACTAGGTAAACCTTTTTTCCCTTTGTTACTTCTTATAAGTATTCATGAAATTCTATACTTTGGTTCTTGCTAATTTTTACTAAGCAACACTCTCGACTGTTATTAATCATTTTTGCTACGATGAATGATTAGAAATTTAAGCTATTTTTCTATTTGACTCTACACCTGAAGCTTTATTTACAAAGATGTTTTGCGCCTATAGACTAAATTCTATTGCATATCTCTTATATTGCTGTTATTGTATTATGCATTTTTATGGTACTAATATATCGGCTCCTGTTGCTTTTTTTTTTGAGCCGAGGGTCTCCTGGAAACAGCCTCTCTACCCTTCGGGGTAGGGGTAAGGTCTGCGTACATATTACCCTCCCCAGACCTCACTTGTGGGATTATACTGGATCGTTGTTGTTGTTGTTGTTGTTGTTGTTGTTGTAGACTAAATTCTATGTTTAGCATCTTGTTCACTACTTAGTATGTTGAAAATGTGCTTCCGTTTGCCTCGGCGTTTTCTTCTACGATTATCAGAATTATGTTTAGTCCTATAGATGTCATCCTTTAAGTTTATATTACATAAGACATCATGCTTAAAGTTCATGTTTTGGATTTAAAATTTAACTTATGGTTTTTTTTTTTTATTTGATTTATGTGAGACATGTGTTTACGACTTGGTTTTAGCTATTAAGAAGTTCCCCTTTGTTTCTTTCTGCTAATATGGAGGACGCTAATAAATCTTTTAATATGATTTAATATATAAAAGGGAATACCACCGGTCATATTTTCTTTTGTTATGAAGATTTTAGAGTTATGTTCTAATAAGACGGTGTTATAAGAATTGTGATTTAGGAGCCTTGCCGATAATTGTACTAACTGAAATTAATGTATAACTTTTTAATTATAGATACACTTTACTTGGATAGCTGCATCACAAAATTAGTGACAATTCCATACCTTTACAATTACTTTTTCAAAGAAAATGATTAAGATAGTCGTACATGTTAGCGGTTGAAATTGCTCGCTTTTCCAATCGAACTAAATTAATAGTGTAATTGTACCATTTTAGATTGCAGAATAAGATACGAAAAAAATTGTTTGCACTATTTGCATGGGACTCACATGCAACATATGTATCCAAAAATTAGTACATATAAAAGACTAAGCTTACCCTTGTATACATTATACAATACTTATCACCCCCCCCCCACCNCCCCCCCCCACCCCACCCCCTCAAGTGATGCGTGACGTGGAAGAACACAGTGCTTGTCACGTAACAAGAGCACCCTCGTTGAAGGAAGAGCCTTTGTCAATAAATCAGCATATTGATCATTGGAAGAAACATACTTAACTTGCAAATCTCCAGAAGCAACTTTTTCCCGCACAAAATGAATATCTATTTCAATATGTTTTGTCCGAGCATATTGCACAGGATTGTGGGAGAGATAAATGCTGCTAATGTTGTCAAAAAAAATAGTAGAAGTGGATGAAAGTGGTATGTGAAGATTTCGAAGAAGTGAACACATCCAAGTAACTTCAGCAGCAACATGAGCAACTGAACCATACTCAGCTTCAGCACTGGATCGGGAAACAACATTTTGTTCCTTAGATGACCAAGAAACAAGATTAGGCCCAAGAAAAAGACAGAATGCTGAGGTAGAACGTCGAGTTGATGGACAACCTGCCCAGTCTGCATCACTATAGCATTCAAGACGGTCAACAGAGCCACCACGGATAAACAACCCATGAGATAAGGAGCCATTTAAATACCGTAATATACGTTTTACAGCAGTGTAGTGAACAACCAACGGTGAGTGCATGAACTGGGTAACTTGATTGACCGCAAAAGCAATATCAGGACGAGTAAAAGTTAAGTATTGAAGTCCACCAACGAGACTAGGATAAAGTGTAGGATCAGAAAAGGAAGGAGAATCAGTAGTATGTAATGAGTTTTTAAGGGAAATGGGAGTGAAAACAGGTTTTGAACACAAAAGATTAGCACGATGAAGAAGATCTTTAATATACTTAGATTGACAAAGAAAGTAACCACCCTCTATGACAGAAATACCAAGAAAATAATTAATTTGGCCTAAATCATTCATAGAAATTTCTGATTTAAGTGTTTGAATCAAAGAGGAAAGCAAAGATGAGGAAGATGCAGTGACAAGAATGTCATCAATATAGAGAAGTAAAATAGCAATATCAGTTGCAGTCTTGTAGATGAAGAGAGTGTTGCGGAAGCCAAATGTATATAGTGTGAATAAGTCACAACTACTATACCAAAAATTATGACAGCCACCAAATAATAAATAAGACAATAAAACAACAATAAAGGGAACACCAGAATTTACGAGGTTCGGCTAATTTTGCCTACTCCTCGGACACAACCAATATTTTATTTCACTCCAAAAATACAAGTGAAATAATACTAAAGAGAGAAGATACAAATGCCTTAAACAGATGAGAAGGCAAATGAGAGGTGTGTTTCAATCCTAAACATTAGGCCTTCTTTTATAGGGGAAAAATCCCCTCCAAACTTAACTCCCAACCAATGTGGGACTTTGGCATTTTGCCAAACTTCAACAAAGAGAACAGTTTGATTTACTATTTTTAAATCCATGACGAAGAAGAAAAGAAGTGAACCGATGAAACCACGCCCTTGGGGCCTGTTTTAAGCCATAAAGAGCTTTGTTCAACCGACAAACATGATTTGAAATGTTTGGGTGAACAAAGCCTGGAGGTTGTTTCATGTATACCCTTAGGTGAAGCAAGAGCAAGGACAGTGCGTATGGTGACTGGTTTCACCACAGGACTAAAAGTTTGATCATAGTCTAGTCCATGTTGTTGTTTATACCCTTGAACTACTAAACGGGCTTTAAAACGCTGAAGCGAATCATCCGATTTTTGTTTAACCTTATAGAACCAACAACAACCAATTATATTTACATTTATAGGAGGTAAGACTAAATCCCAAGTATTATTAGTCATAAGAGCATTATACTCTTCGGCCATTGCTCGTCTCTGATGTGGATTCATATTAGCTTCCTTAAAAAAAGATGGTTCGGAAGGAAATGTCGGAAAGAAAAGAAGGTTGGCTTAAGACTACCGGTTTGAGCACGTGTGATCATGTGATGTGTTTTGGATGCAGGGAGCTGTGAGTTAAGAGAAGAGAAAAGAGGTGATTGGTCGAAATTAGATACTGATAAGGGAGGGGTAGAGGAATAAGCATGAGAAGGATTTGGTCTAATGGATAAAGAATTTGAATTATAGTGGGGAACAACTAAAGGAGGAGAGTGTGGAAGTGGATAGGTGCTGAAATTTGATGGGGTTTGAAACAGGGAGTTGGAGGAATTAACGGGTGATGTTGAAGATTTAAGAAAAGGATAAGGAAAGAAGCTCTCATTAAAATGAACATGTCTAGAAATATAGATTTTGTTCGTGATTGGATCAAAACATCGAAATCCCTTATAATTTGACGGATAACCAAGAAATACATAATGTTTAGACAACGGACTTAATTTATGAGAAGAGTAATCACGAAGATTAGGATAACACCCGTAAATGATCATAGGTAGGAAACTTACCAAAAAGAAGTTCAAAATGAGTCCTAAAATTAATTGTGGAAGAGGGTAGAATATTTAAAATATGGACAACCATGTTAAGAGCTTCAACCCAAAATGTACGAGGAAGTGAAGCTTGAAAGAGTAAAGAACGAATCATATTTATAATAGTACGATGCATACGTTCAGCTTTTCCATTTTGCTGATGAGTATGAGGACACGAAATTCGTAAAGAAATACCATTATCATTTAAAAAGGTACGAAACAAACCAAGTCATACATACTCAGCAGCTCCATCACATTGGAACATTTTAATCTTTGTCGAAAATTTATTTGAGACATAAGAATGAAAATCTTTAAATTTTTGAAATGCCTCAGATTTTTGTTTAATAGGAAAGGCCCAGGAAAACTTAGAAAAATCATCAAGAAAAAGAATATAATAACGAAACCAGTAAACGAGGTAACATGAGAGGTTCAAATGTCACTGTTTATTAATTCAAAAGGAAGCAACATCACCAATGAAGGAGGAGAAAGAATATAAGGGCCCGAGACTATTGCACCTGAGAAGAGTTTTCTTTGTCTTGATGTCCTTAATAGAAAAACCACAAGAATCAAATTCAATTATTAGTAGAGTTTCGACCACCATTTTGATGTCTACCATGCCCACGCCCATGAGATAAAGATTGTTGCTTGGCAACAAGTGCTGTAGGGAAGACGTCTGAATTTGTTTGGGAGAAGTTGTTCAATTGGGATTCATGGAGAAAGAGAAGTGATCGAGTTTCAACAAAAGAGAGAAGTGTAACTCTAGTAGAAATAGAGGTACTTACAGACATGTAGTCTGGAGGAAGACCGGATAGGATTTGAAGGACAAGTTCAGTCTCAGAAATAGGATTTTCAATAGAAATGAGGGCATCCGCAATGGATTTCAAACGATGAACATAATCATTGATCGAGAGATCACCTTTTTTGAGATTATGAAATTGTACCTTCAGTTGAAGAGTCTGAGAACTCACTTGATCACGAAATAGACGTTTAATTTCTAGCCAAGCCACTCCAGAAGTGAGCGAGTGATTTGGACGGAGAATTGCTTGAAGAATCTCTTGAGAGATTGTTGACTGAATCCAAGATAATACAATGGAATCAAGTTGAATCCATTGTTGAAAAGCAGAATTAAGAGCGGAAGTGCCATCATATTTAACAATGGTGCGATTCGGGCAAGGAAAACTGCCATCAATGAAATCATAAACCCCGTGCCCCTTAAATGCTGGTAAAACAAAGTTCTCTCCACAACATGTAGTTGGAATAGTCAAGAATAGTAGGAACTAAGTTTTTAATGTTAGAGATAGAAATGGAAGAGTGTGAAGGAGGAGAAGACATAGTAATATCAATAGGAGGAACGTGGGAAAAAGTGGCAGAGTGAGAGGAAGGAGATGAATACATGAATCTGCAACAGGAGAGAGCAACAAGCAAGAGACCTACGCTTCTGATACCATGTAACAGTGTATGTTATTGATTATGTGAAATACATGTACAATGGAGTATTTATAGTGATAAATTCATATAAAAGACTAATCTACCCTTGTATACATTATACAATACTTATCAGTTAACGGGTATAAGCTATGGTATTCGGGAGGGGTTATGGGCAAGTACGGGGTAGGAATTTTAGTAGATAGGGATCTCAAAGAGCTGGTGGTAGATGTTAAGAGGGAGAACAATAGGTTGATATTTATTAAGCTAGTGGTTGGTGGGCTCACTTTAAGTGTGATTAGTGCTTACGCACAGCAAGCGGGCTTGGACGAGAAGGTTAAAAGGAACTTCTGGGAGAATTTGGATGAGGTGGTGAGAGGTATTCCACACACTGAGAAGCTATTCATAGGAGGTAATTTTAATGGCCATAGTGGGGAGTCAGCTGGGGGATATGGCGATGTACATGGCGAGTTCGATTTTGGAGTTAGGAACGAGGGTGGTACCTCGTTGTTGGCCTTCGCCAAAGCATTTGATTTGGTAGTTACTAACTCGTGCTTTTAGAAGAGAGAGGATCACTTGGTCACGTTCCGAAGTACGGTGGCCAGGTCTCAGATTGATTACCTTCTCTACAGGAAGGGTGATAGAGTTTTATGCACTGATTGCAAGGTTATACCGAGTGAGTGACTCTCGACATAGGCTCTTGGTAATAGAGTTGGAGATTATGAGAAAAAGGAAGAAGAGAGCAGTGTACTGGCAACGTAAGATCAAGTAGGGAATCTTGACTAAGGACAAAGCTCAGGTAGTAGGGAAGAAGTTGTTGGCCATGGGGGCCTGACAAAGCAATGAGGATGCTAGTTGTATTTGGACCACGACTGTAGACTGCATTAAAGAAGCTGCTAGAGAGGTTCTAGGGGTCATAAAGGGATACCGGGGGGGGGGGGGGGGCACAAAGGAGACTGATGGTGGAATGGAAAGGTTCAAGAAAAAATGAAAGCCAATAAAGTAGTGTATGTGAAAATAATGGAGAGCACTGATTATGAGGAAAAGAGGATGGATATGGAGTCTTATAAAAAGGCTAAGAAAGAGGCGAAGTTAGTGGTCACGGCTGCCAAGACTGCAACATTTGAACACTTGTATGAGGAGCTAGGGGGCAGAGACAGTGACAAGAAACTATTCCGATTAGCCAAGGCTAGAGAGAAAAAAGCTCGGGACCTGCACCAAGTGTCGTGCATCAATGACGAGGATCGTAAGGTCTTGGTAGAGGAGGCGTGTATTAGGTGATGGTGGCAGACTTACTTCCATAAACTCTTGAACGAGGATGAAAATCGGGCCATTGAGCTTGGGAAGTTGGAAAACTCGAAAAGCTTGCGTGATTTCGGGTTTTGTAGACATATTATGGTTGAGGATGTTGAGGAGATTATGCGGAAGATGAGCAGGGGTAGGGCAATCGAACTAGACGAAATTTCGGTGAAATTTTAGAAGAACGCAGGTTGGGAAAACTTGAGTGGCTTATTGATTTGTTTAACGTTATTTTTTGGATGAAAAAGATGCCCGAAGAGTGGAGGCCGAGTTTGATAGTCCCGCTATACAAGAACAAGGGTGATATCCATAATTGCAATAAGTATAGGGGTATAGAGCTGCTGAGTCACACCATAAAAGTTTGAGAGAGGGTAGTGGAGAGGAGGGTGAGAAGGAGTGTGTCTATTTTGGAGAACCAGTTTGGTTTCATTCCAGGGCAGTCGACTGCAGAAGCCATTCACCTCGTAAGGAAATTGATGGAACAATATAGGGAGAGGAAGAATGACTTGCATATGGTATTTATTGACTTAGAAAAAGCCTACAATAAAGTTCCTTGGGAGTTTTTATGGAGATATTGGAGATTAGCGGTATTTCGGTAGTGTACATTAGGGTGATTAAGAACATTTTACGATGGAGCTAAGGCTCGGGTGAGGACCGTGGGAGGTAACTCGAATTATTTTCAAGTGAAGATGGGGTTACATAAAGGATCAACTCTTAGCCTATTTTTATTTGCCATGTCGATGGATGTGTTGACGCGATACATTCAAGGAGAGGTGTCATAATGTATGTTATTTGCAGATGATATAGTGCTGATTGATGAGACACGTTGTGGGGTTAATGCTAGGCTAAAGGTGTGGAGACAGACCCTGGAGTCTAAAGATTTCAAGTTGAGTAGGACGAAGACGAAAGACATGGAGTGTAAGTTTAGTGTTGGGGCTCACGAAGCAGAAGTGGACGTGAAGCTAGATACACAAGTAATCTCTAGGAGAGATAGTTTCAAATATCTTGGGTCTATGATACAGGGTAACGGGAAGATCGATGAGGATGTCGCACATCGTATTAAAGTGGGATGGATGAAATAGAGGCTCGCTTCTAGTGTTTTGTGTGACAAGAATATGACTCAAAGACTTAAAGGTATGTTCTATAAAGCGATAGTTAAGCCAGCCATGTTGTATAGCCGAGTGTTGGCCAGTCAAGAAATCTTATGTCCAGAAGTTGAAATTAGCGGAAATGAGGATGAATAGATGGATGTGCAGGCATACCAGGAGAGATAAAATTAGGAATGAGTATATTAGGGACAAGGTTGACGTGGCTCCTGTAGAAGATAAGTTGTGGGAGTCGAGGCTGTCACACCTCTTTTTTTACACCCGAGACGAGGGATAAAAGGGATTTTTTTTAATTAAAGTGACAATAACCGAAATGAAATTAATTATTAAATTCAGAGTCTCCACTTGGGATAATTTACGGTGTCCCAAGTCCCAAGTTTAAAATCCCGAATCGAGGAAATTTGACTCTATTTTACAGTTTGCGAACACAGAAATCCGGGTAAGGAATTCTGTTAACCCGAAAGAAGGTATTAGGCATTCCCGAGTTCTGTGGTTTTAGCACGGTCGCTTAGATCATACTTGGCTTAATTAAATTGATTAATTACGTGTTTTAGCACCTATGTGCATTTTTACCTTATACCACTTTTATTTAAAACGAATCACGCGTACGTGTATTCATTGTTTTGGTGCGTCAAGAATCATGTCACGCGTACGTGTACACAATTAAGATTGTTGCGTCCAAAGTTGCGCGAACACATACCTTGGTTTTAATTTTAGAAACCGTGGCAATGTCACGCAAACGTGTACATAATCACGATAATAAATTCAAAACTCGCCTAAAGCACTCTAATGGTGTTCATTGTTCTTCCTAAATTTTGAGATTATTGTAAGACCAAATTTATGAACAAGATATTATTGTGGCAAAGGGCTAGCTAACATGATCTATTACTTGGCCTAAATTTCTTATAGTTCAAGACTCACCTTATGGCCCATTATTATTCTTTGCCAAGAAAGAAACAACTCCAATTTTTCCATCTACCCACTTAAAAGCATTTATTCAAGAACCAAGACTACATACATCACAATCAAAATAAAACTAATTAAAATAATTTAAATGAAAACTAAGACATGCTACTCAAACAACATAGAATCGCCAATTAACACGCGCACCAAGCTATTATAACACAATGAAATGAGAAAAAAAATTGAGAAATGAACCTTTTATTGAGGAACAAAGATGAAAATTGCAAATTAATCGAGCTAAACAAAGCAACAATCCTTGGACTGAAACACCGCAATTGACAAACCGGAACCTCGACTAATTTTCCAAAAAAGAATTTCGACCAAGCCCAATTTCTTGAGATTTTTGCCAGGTCTGAATTTAGCCCTTTTCGAGCTAATTGAAAAGCAAAGTCTTTTCCAATACTGTCAGCGGGTCTAGCCTTTTTATCAATTGCACAACAGGAAAAAGTGAGTTCTGCAGACATTTTCAATTGCAAACTTTTCCAAGATTTTTCATCCGCAACCAATCAGCTTCGATCTCAATTTGGAATTCATTTTCTAACAATCAGCAAAACCAACATACCAGTCATCTTTTATCGTTGATGCGTCATTTTTTGTTTTTAGTCTAGGTCTAGGAATTAAAAACTTAGGGTAGAGTTTCTATAATTGGGTATTTTATATGGAGGTGAGAATGGATGATGGGCATTGGATTAGAAGGAAATAGATGGTTAGGATTAAATCTTGCATTTAAATGGGTTAATGGGTTGGGAAGAATGGGCTAAGGGTAATTGGGTTGGATCATGTCTTTTGGGTTTGAGCTTAGGTAAAAAGACCAAATAATACAATATATCTATAAAATATAAAAATCACTCTAAATTAAAATAAACTAATATAAAACTAAATACTACGAGTGAAACTATTTTTTTTTGTATTTTCAAATGTCATAATACTTTAAATATAAATATACTAATTAACTTTAACCTAAAGATGAAAATATTTATTTTATATTTTGTAATTTTTATTTTTTTGTGATAAAATAAAGTAAAAGAGTCAAAACTATTTAAAATAACGATATTAAACCTAAACTAAATATTTTACGCTAAAAATGTGTAAAATCTTAGGGAGGGTCAAAAATCACATGTCTACAGCTGCCCTTCTTTGGCTGAAAATGCGAAGAGTTTTCAGACAAAGAACGACGAGACAGGTTTTTTGACCCGACCTTTATTTGGAGAGACAAAAAACTAAAAGAAAGGAGAATGTGACTGAGCCCTAGTATCTAAGCTGCCTACATATCCTTGGCTACAAAGGAATCAAGCCACGTGTAGTTCAGAAGCGAATAGGTGATAGAGTACCGAGGTGGAGTGCTGATTGAGGTGTCGTTCCGTCGAGGTTCCGGTCCGCGGTCCTATTATTACATCAAAATCAAAATGAAAAAGACTAACTAAGCATATCAGCTATGAGTTACAAGATTCCTATCTATGAGTCTTCTGAAGCTAGATCTTGAGTCTTGAATGGTTCTTCATGCAGACTTTAGATTTGAACCTTGGCGCTTGTTAGCTGCAGGTGCTAGCTCGTGCTTCTTTAGCTTTTCTGGTCAAGACTGGGCATGTAGTGCTTGTGACTTCAACCACGTCTTGAGCATTTCACATCTTTCTCTGCTTCTGCATTTTGGATTC